CCGCAGCTGGAGACTTTGATTTTGTCTGCTGCGCAGTCAAAGGAAACTTAGTGGGATGAACCCCGATGAAGACTTCAAAACACTGTTTCTTTGCAGTATTCTTTACCGGTTGCTGAAGAACGGCTTGCGAAGGACAGGGAGATCCCGAGACAAATCATACCAAATCGAAGCATGCCTCCAGTTTCTGGACAATCCGTATTCAAACCACCCAGTTAGCTGTCTTGGAAATGAACTCGGACTTGATCACGAGAGCTACCACGACTGATCAGTGTGCCTCCAAGTCCTACCACCATGAGCTTCAGAACTGGAAACAGAAAAGCCATTCAGGCTAAGGCAATGCGTGGGCCTGCGGCTTCTGTGCCTTGACAATGGCCGCGTTCTGCAGCTTCTGCTGCCGTATCCGCGCCCTGCACTGCTGGAGGTGTCAACTTTCAACTGTCCCTGTGCCAGCTGGCAGTACAACAGATGTCATAAGATTCCGTGTTGTACACATTGACCGCACTGCTACTGCATTCAAGATCGGCATAAGCAGGATGGCTTGCGCTTGCACGCCTTTCTGTGCAAAACCGGGATTAACAATTACGAGTACTTCTTTTGCATTGGCGCATGATTCGCTCTCTGAAACCTCACAAGGACGGGGCACCGGAAGCGGCTCTCGAGCTCCATCAGGCGCGCCCCCTCCTGCGACCAGGGACAGACCGCGACGGATTCGCGGTGGGGATATTTGCATGTTCGCATTCAACCTTCCATTCAAGAGGTTCACTGTAAGGACATGTTCGGCGCGTGAGATCTCGCAACTATCAGTACTATAGACAGCAAGCTTACTACACGACGACTCCTACTACTACTCCTACTACTACTACTACTACTACTACTACTACTACTACTACTACTACTACTACTGCTACTGCTACTACTACTACTACTGCTACTACTACTACTACCACTACTACTACTGCTTTGACAGCCACCATGACCAAACAGCATCGCCGCCAGCCACTACCTCTGCCACTTCAACCCACCTCAACTACCACTGCCACTATCACTACTGGTCATGACCTCCGCAAATACCACTCCACTTTCGCTGCTTGTTGCTGCTGCCACCACCAGTCACCCTCCGGAATCCTTATCAGTGCTTTGCAGCCCTTCAAAGCACCTTTTGTGACGATACGACGATTCGGAGGAAACTGGAAGACCGGGCTCTAAGCTTCCGAGGCTTAGGGCTTAGGTCCTCCATGCGCTGGAGCTTCGAGTGCCCCGGGTGCAGGTCCTCCCAACAGCTTGTGGCCCTATGTTGGGAAGTAGCTCTTGAGATATCACCGGCGTGGCTCAAGTGCGTAGCAACTGGAGCAGCGCAGGTTGCAAAGCTCTACAACGGTGCATTGCTACAGCCAGGACAGGTGCCAGACCAGGGTACGACAACGGACAACCACGCGTCCTGGAAAGGGACAGGGTACATGTCGCCGCCGCCGGGCACCCGCTTCTCCTTCAAGACAGCTCGAAAAAGATATCTGAAAAGTTGAGGCTTCTTCCAGCAAGGCAGGAAATGAAAGCTCCGGTCTTCGCGGCACCTCGGCCTCCTTCAGCTGCTGGAGCCTCAAGGTCCGCTTCGCCTCCCTCTCCGGGTTGGGCAGCTCCATAAGCTTCAGCCTCTGGCCGCACTCAGAGCTCTGCAGGACCTCGCACGGCCGCACCCAAGGAGGCGACCAGCGGATCTTTCGGTCAAGCATCTTCTTCCTCATGTACCTCGCTTCCCGAGCTTCCTTCCCTCCCTGTCTGGTGTGTATTTATGGCAGTTGAACGCCGGGTTCCTCGCATCTCTTGCAACCTCTGGGCCTCCGCGTGTGTCAGGTCCTGCCACCGTGGCCCGGTACCACCTGCAGGCTGCAGCTCACCGACGCTCTCGCCAGTCTGCAAATACCACACGGAGATGCACGGGATCATGACTTTCCAGACTTTCCAGGAAGGTTTGCAAACGAAGCTAGGCTTTCCTTCAGCAGCAAAATAAACAAAAGAAAGAAAACAACAAGCAGCAAATGACACACCAAAAACATCCAAGAACCCTTGCAAGGCCCGGAAAGTGCCTGAGGGATACGTCGCACCACGAAGGCTTTCGTAGTGAAGCCAGGGTTTGGTCCGTGAGCTTTGCTGGAAGTCTGCCTGCACACTTTCGGATGGCTCTGACAGACTCTGGCTTCCACCGCCTCGAGATGTCAGAGACACTGCCATCAGAAACCTTCCATAACTCCCCACTCAGAGTCTCCTGCCCACCTCGTCCATCTCGGAGCTGGGACTTCGTGCTGCAGCCTCCGCCACAGCCTGGGCTTGCTGGCCCCCCCGCCCTATCCCTCCCACAAAACAAAAAGGAAAGCCGAGATGCCATTGACGGACGTCGGTTGGGCCGCAGTCGCACCTCCGGCCATGTTTTGAAGCTTCCAATTCGCCGTCTCTTCTCTGTGACCAAGCTTTGAGCCCAAAGAGATACTGCAAAGCATCCGAACCCTGCTCCCGAGCCTTAGGGTCGAAGAGCGTGCTGTCCACCTCAGAGCCTTCTCGCCCACAGCGGCCGATCTCTGCGAGCTCCTGCGACATACTCCCAAAGATTTGCTGAAGTAACCAAACAGCTCGAGACAACACTCAGTTCCAAGACACTGGTACGGGACTCCTTGGCGAGATGCTGCTCATTGATGTTCTGGAAAAAGTTTCTGCCACACCGGTCATGTGGATTTGGGCTTTCATGGCTTTGAAAGTCTCCCGAAGGGGCACTTCCCCATACTTCAGCCTCGTCGAGAAGCCCCGGGCACTGCGTCGGAGGAGATTGGCCAAGTGACGTGAAGCCATGCTCCAGCGCGAAGCGCTCACCCTCGAACATCCAAGGGCAGGCTCCCTATGCTTGGACTTGCGAGCTTGGCATGGGGGCATTGGTAGTTTTGCCGATGAACGAGGAATGTGAATGTGCTTTAGCAGAGCACATGGGAAGCACGACATCCCTGCTTCGCTCACGTGACATGCCGCATGACTCCACTCTATGCTGTCGCATGCAGAATAATCTCCAGCCAGGCACTTCAAAACAAAACAACACAGAGAGAACAACTAACAATGGCACGCCCTCACCTGGATGCATCGCGATCAGTCTCAGGATGTATGCAAAGCCGTTAGGGTGGGGGAAAGTAGTGCATCGATGATGGCATAACAGTTTTGTCGTTATGTCCGGAGTCTCGGCTTACTTCAACCCGCAGCCCCAAAAACTAGAGAAGATTACCGGTATAGAATAAAGCAATCGGTAGTTTGTGCAGGCTCTCCTGCCGTCGCTCTGTGTTCTGCTGCTGCACTTGCTACTGCTGCTGCTGCTGCTGCTGCCGCCGCTGCCCCCGTCGTTGGTACCGCCACTGCGGATGATTTAGTTCAATTCGAACGTTGTTTGTGTCTTGGCCATGGTGTTGCCTACAGCGCGGTGCTGCTAAGCTGCTAAGCTGCTGATGATGACGATGACGATGACGATGACGATGACGATGACGATGACGACGACGATGACGATGATACTGGTGATGATCATAATGATGATGATGATGACGATGATGATGATGATGATGGGAGGAGGAATAAGATTGAAGACAACATGTGTTGATGATGATCCCCTGGAAGCGATGTGCCGACCGGCTGCGGGGGTCCGTGTTCTGCCGGCATTCCGACAACGGGAGCAGAACCGACGCCGTGCGTCCATCGAGGGTCTCCGAACCATCTGTCCTCCTGGGGCAGAAAGCAATCCAATGCCTGCCTTCTTGCTTGCTGGAATTGACCGATGGCCTTTGCCTGGGGCGCAAGTGTAAGCAGAAGGGCTGTCTCGGACCGTCTATAAGGCCTGCCAGTGGCCCACGTAGGGAGAAAAATGAGAATGGGGATCGCACGGGGAGTGCGTAGATGGGGGGCTCTTTCGAAGGTTGTCTCGCACCAGGAATTTCTCAAGAACAGATCGGGTGCTTGCTGGGAGGGGATCTTAAAAGCGACTTGCCCCAACAACAAAAGAGCGGCGAAAACACTGCCACGGAAGCGCTGGCCCATCTTGGATAATCTTGGCGTGATCCCACGTTGCGAAAGCGGGCGCGCCTTGCGTCAGGGCTGCGCATGTGCTGAGCATTGGCACGTTGCGCATGTCTTCATCTCAGAAAGAGTGGCAAGCCCTTGTTTTCACAAAGCGTAATGACAAGATCGAAATTTGGAGTCAAAGCTGACATACCAACGGAGTCAAATTAGCCCACATGTCGAGCCGCGGTTCGAAGACAAGTGTCGACTGACTTTGTACATTGAGATTCTATTTCATCCCCTGTCACGGACTTCTGGTCACGTTGCCGCTTCCACCACAACTACCGCTTTTGTTGTCTTTTTTTGCAGGCCGCCTACCACTACCTGAAAACCAGCAGTTGAGCACCAAATGAGCATAACAGGAGCTGAAGCTCAGCTTCCGCTGCCCTACCAGATGAGCATCACATGAACACCGAAGGAGTCGCAGATGGGATGTCAAGCCGTTCCGTCAGGCCGGGAGCACTCGCTCTCGGCGGCTTGCTGGTAATAGAAACCTGGACCTCCCTCCGTGAGATCAGCAACACACGCAAGATGGGGCAACGCGCAAAAGGAAGGGCTATAGTCTAAACTCCTACTACCACCCTTAATAAGCCCTATGATTGCCCCCTATCGCCCTTTAAGGATAGAGCTTGTCTCGGCTTTACCTAGCACTGCTGCAGAGCCTGTGTTCATCTCACTTGCGACTCTCGAGGGTCCTCTACCGGTCCGTCCCATGTTTATAAGCCTCGGGCTTCAAATTTACGACTGTGAACTCGCAGATCCAAGAGTGCATGTACAGAGATTCGCCCAAACGGGGGAAAGAATCGCAGCTTTCTTGGCGTTCCTGCTGCACAGACCGTGTGCGGCCGGAGACTTCCCCCAGCCGCTGTTTAGACTCCGCATTCATACGGGGGAGATTTCTCAAAAAGGCGCCCCACTTAGGAGGAGCTGGGCTGGGGCTCTCCCGGCTTTATGAAGGGCCACGTCTCCCCCTCCATGGCACTCTTGCATTTCAACTGGTTCCTCATGATGGCACTCTCAAGTGCGGTGTAGCCTTCGCCTGGGCGAGATGCCGGGAGCTTCGCAAAATCAGGGCATTTGGGGAACCGGACCTCAGCGAAACATGGCTAAGCCTGACCTAAAGATTTTTCATGTACAAAGCCTGTCCGATTGGACGCTGGAGGTGTTTGCTCCCGTTGCTGCAGTTTCCTGCTTGAGATGTGGCAGCTACCGGTAAATCTAGGCCTGCATGTCCTCGGAGCGACGTCTCATGTGTCATGTGGAGTGTTTTCTGTTTACCTTGAACTCGGGATCCCCGAAGGATCATGAGAGAGTTGCAGACAGTGGCGGCCCTGATAGAAGTCCAGATAGCTTTGGGTCCTGATGATAAGCAGCCCTAAGTACGACGCACTTCTGTCGAAAACTCCAAATCTAAACAAAACATAGAAGGATCCTCACGACCGGGACCCCAAAAGGCAACTTGCTTTCAGGAGCCCTACACTCTGAACCAAAACAACCAAACCTTCCCGCAATTTCCTGAGATCGGCGCTGCCCTTCGTCTTCAAGGCCTGAGAATCCACAGAGAATGCTGCAAGGCACTGATCCCAACACAGGTCAGGGTGAGGGTCTACGCTGTAGGCTTTACGGTTTTAAGATTTAAGGTGTAGGGTTTCGGTCTTGAGCTCTGGACCACAAGTGCCTCCTTCGGAAGGCCCGTAATCACAGTGCCTGGGCCTTTAATAATCCTAAAAAGGGATCTAGAAGGATTACTATAAGGGATCTATAAGAGTACTATAATATAACCCCTTCTGCCTGGCCGATCTAGGCAGGTGAATGCAAAACATGAGTCACGTTCTAAAACAACGCTTTAGGGTTGTGCACAAGTCCCTTTTGTTCTGGAACTCCCACGTGGCTCCAACGAGACTCACCGCAACTGATTCCTCAGAAAGGCACCCCGACCCCTGACCCTCAAAACCGGTTTAGGGTTTTGGGTTTAGGGTTTAGGGTTTAGGGCCCAAACCGAACCCTGAACCCTAAACACTGGCAGAACCCCAAGCTCCATTATTACTCGATAGGAGCAGACCCACCGTCTTCGTCATGACGATACGGAGAGCAACACCAAGGCTACCCTTAGTAAACCCTACATCCCAAACCCGAAACCGGGTAGCAACAACCATAATACTGATGCAAGTAGCACCGATAGCCACAATCACGGCAACGAGACGTCTTCGGCATCTTTCCTGGGGCCTCCGACCAGGTTGGGGCGTTCTTCGAGGATTCTTTGGAATCCGTGGACGCGACCATCGGAACACATGTGCATCACCGTGTCTCCTGAAGGCGGGGAAGGCATCGGGCAGTATATAGACTAGGATATACTGTGCTAGTCTAGAGTTTGCTACACTACACGATACCGTAGTATTGCACCATGTTGTACCACATTATACTGTACTCTACGATACTGTACTCTACTAGACATAAACCAGCTTGAAAGCCCGATTTTCTTGGGGGTCGAGAGCCTGACCATGCCAGAGCCCCGGATGTGCTGGAGTCGAGCTGAAGCGTGCGACCCAAGCTCTGCTAAAATTGAGGCTCGGGCCATTGTTGTCCTGCTTATCCTCAGCAGAATCGACTCTATCAAAAGCAGACAAGCACAGCGGCTTCCTTCCCAAACCAGGATCCTGGGGCTCCCGGCCACGTTCGCCCCCGCCCGTAACATAATGCTAATCATGTTCGCGTCGCCGCTGGCTGCAGCTTTAAACAATGCCGTCCGGCCTCGGCAAAAGGCGGAGGATGCTCCAGACCACTAGAGGAAGCTGCTTGCAACAGCCGGAGAACTCAGCCTAAGCCCTAAACCATTGCAGCTCGGGCACCCCATCCAGGCTCCAGCTGAGGCCCCGGCCGAAGTCGTCTTCGGCCTCCTGAGTTTGCCAGGCTCCGGAGTTTCTGAACGCCACAGAACGAAGGCTTCTACGTGGACCTAAACCCTAAACCCCGAACCCTAAACCCCCAACCATGGGCTTGGGGGTTTAGGGGTTTAGAGCATGGGGTTTGGGGGTTTAGGGTTCAGGGGGTTTAGGGGCTTAGGGTTTGGAGTTCAGGGTTTACGGCGGCCTCTGCGGTCACCAAGGCTCCCGGCCACAGGTGCGCCGGCGGCCAGCAACGCTTGGGCAATCTCTTCTTTGGCGCTTAGAGCCGCGGCCATCAGCGTCGTGCCACCACCTCGGCCGCAAGTGGGGAAGGATGAAAGGTATGGTAAGGTAGGGCAAGGTGAGATACGGCAACATACGGTGGGGTAGAGTAAGGCAAGACCCAGTACGGTAGGGGAGGTTGGGTAGGTAGTACGCATGCATGCAGGCGCGCACACACACACACACACTCACACACATGCACACTAGAATTTAACTTTCCATCGGCCTCGAGCTGAGGCGGCAGCTTGTGCCCCGAGGCCTGTTCGCCTGGGAAACTGCAATGCTCACTCAACAACGAGGGGGCTCGAAAGAAACACCTCGTGTTCCGGTGACTGCAAGCCGAGGACGAGTTGTATGCCAGAGTCAAGACAGTTTCGTTGAAAACGGTGGAAGGCATGTGATGAGGGAGTCAGCACCCAAGCCCAAGAAATCGGAAACCTCCAAGGACACCCATCTGCAAAGGCCTTACCAACTTTCTCAAGCAAGCTCTGTTTCCGTCTGTCAGAGCTGGGGCACCCGGCGAGGTGTGGTTTCGGCTTGTAGTAGTACAGAAGCATGCAGACCCGCTGGAGGTCGTCTTTGCGTATTTGGTCCAGAAGCTCATCTTCGACTGGCCAGGGTAGAAGGTAAAGCGGAGCTAGGCTTAAAACATGAAGCTGGCACAATCAAACACTCCAAACCCCAGCTTCTGGCAGCCCCAAGTCTGCATGTCAAAGATATTCTCTAAGCCTTACAGTAACACTTACAAAGCTCCCACAGAGGCTCCTGATAGAACTTACAGCAACTCTGTTAGTTACGCGTCTAGGAAACTTGAAAGGAACCCCCAACCCCTAAAAAGGTAGCCAGGGAATCTTTCTAGAAGCTGAAGCAACATGGGGGCCATGATCTTTAGAATAGAAGCTTGGTGGTACAGATGGTGTTTAAAAAACCTGCATATCTACATACATGAAAAATGAAGGCTAAAAACCGATATGCTATCTTGACTTCTATTCAAGACCTAAACCGTAAAGAATAACAGCGATGCCCAATGCTAAGGCCTGGAACGCCCGGTTCACGGTGGCTAACGGACTGGCCAAGAAGAGCGTGTTTTGGGATTTGGGTTTGGGGTTTTGGAGTTTTGGGGTTTACGGGTGTAGGGTTTAGAGGTTTAAGGGTTTACAGCAAAGTTTACGCGTTTGGGGTTCAGGGTTTAGGTGTTCAAGGTTGCTTTAGGGCTTTTGGGGCTTAGGGTTTTCACGGTTGGATGGCTTTGAGGGTATGGGGCTCGGTGCAGGGCTTCCGAGTATTCGACAGGTTTCGAGAGGTTCGAGCTTCCGCCTCGAACTTGCACACAATAAACCATTACTCAAAGGGGAAAAGAAGGGACCCTTAATGGGGACGCATACCCTATAATGGGCTATATAATGGGTATAGAATAGCTATATTAAGTGTATATACCTTGGGGTCCTTATTAAGGGTCCCTCCTTTTGCCCTTGGAACCACCCTGGCGTCTGCAAATGGTGCCATAACCTCGGCTTCCTACACTGCTAACCAGCTAAACATGCGAAGTAGCACGGTGCCCTATGCACCCGCACCCTTATAGCGCCTGGTTCTTAGGAAGCCTTTCATGGAAACCCAATCTCAAGTCGCCTCAGTGAGCTCTGCCAAAATCTGATCGAAGGTGGTCTTCTTCTCCGGTATCGATTCCTTTCACAAGGCGCCGGCACGGTCTAGGGTTCACCGTGCAGGGTTTAGAGTTTAGAGTGTAGGGTGTATGGTTCAGTTTAGAGTTTAGGGAGCAAGAGCCACGGAAACCCCACGCCTGACAGAACCTGCTGACGTCGGGGTCCAACGTCTCTTCCTGTCAAGGTTCAAGATACAACTCGGCTTTGGCCGTAAGGGACATGTAACATGACTGTCTTATAAGTACTGCTTAATTGCTATGGCTGCTACGACCCGTATTATACTTATTTGCTTCTTGTCCGTGTGTGATATGGTGTTGCTTCCCTTTTCACCTCCTTATCGCGAAGCCAAAGCCACAGACTCCGCACCGCAAACCACCGATCTCACGATCAGGGGACATGTCCATGAAGCAGGGCTCCTCCACAGCTTGTCGGGGCAACATCCCTATCTTGGGGCCTACTGAAGTGACCCAGAACAGTCGATTCAGTGTGTCTTTCACTCCTGAGCTCTCACTCTCACGTAACTTTCCTTGATCAAAAAATGCATGAGAAACTAAAAAGTCTTCAAGGACATGACAGGAAACAACACAACATTCGGCGTGGACCGTTTAGGGACAACCTGTGCGTGAGGAATGAAACCAAAATCCTGTCAGAATCACATGTCAGGCAGGACCAGCCTCACTGCGTCGAGTGCCTTCCTGGGCCTGAAGCGGGGCGGTTCCAGGTTCTGGAATTCGGAGTTCTGAGGCTTGCAGAAGTGTAGTCAGCATGAGCTGCCGCCTGTGTGCCTATCTGGAAGTTCCTCAGCCTTGCTTGAGTTATCTTGAGTCTACCAGTCACTAGCATGATGAGGTCGATCTTTGCAAACTCCATCGCCGAATCGAGCTCTACATCAGCGACTTCAGATCAAATCAGCTGTCGGGCACTTGACGGAGAGCCCTGTCTGCAAGGCTTCGGGTTTAGGGCTGTTGTTTTGTTTAGGGTTTAGGGTTTAAGGTTCAGGGTTTGGGCTTCAGGGTTTTCCTTGTCTGTGGAGATTTCGCGATTTGCTCCTTGCACTTGGGGGCTGAGAGGCTTCTTGGACTTGGGCTTCGGGTTTAGGGTAGTTTAGGGTTTAGGGTTTAGGGTTTAGGGTTTAGGGTTTAGGAACCTCGGGGCGGCAATTAGACACAGCCCTTGAAGCCAATTCCAAAGGCACCTAAATCCAGAAGAGTTCCTGTGGCAAAACCGATGCAGGATCTACACATCTGAAACCGACACAAGCTGACTTCCGCTGCAAATTTTCAAAATCCTAAAGTTGTAAAACCTTATGCCCTGAAGCAGAAGACCTGAAACCTTACGGCAGCCAAGAAAACACCGATCGCAAACCGTTGCCTGGCTCTTGAAGGCCTGCAAAGCATACTGCTGGGTGGCCTGGAAGGCAGATCTTCAAGGTTTGAAGTTCAGGCTTTAGGGTTTAGGGTTTAGCTGGCCAGGGTCTTAGGATTCAGGGCGGAGTGTTTAAGACTAGTTGGAGTGTGGAAGGAAGAAGCTTTGGCCGCTAGAGTGCATGGGCCTTGGTGCAGGAACTTGGGAAGCCATCACCTGGTTTCAAGTCTCTGGCAGGGAAATCACTGCTTCTGCACACAGGGGTTTCCTTAAAAATGTTACAACAGGACCCTGTCAAAAGTGTCACCGGTCCCATCTCATGGAAACCTTCCAAAGTCCCCAGAATTAACCCGGCTTCTTGTGAGGATCCAGCCCGCTCTCCAAGTGCCGGAGCCAGCATGGCGAGAAACAGGCATGTCACCTCAAGTTTTCGAACTCGCGTTTGGAAGGGGGGGAAGAGTCTTGAGTCGCCTCCTTGCGGCGGTAGTCACATGGCCTACCCCTACAATCGCCAGGGCCTTGCCTGCTGCTATGCGGCAGACGTATAACTATAATTACTCTAATATCCCCATGATAGACGCACCCAAAGCACTCACCAACACAATCAAACAAATCCTGCTGCATGTAAAGTGATGATGGAAGGACATCATCTACTTATTTCCGACAAGTTCCGGTCCAAGCCCTAAGGGGTGAGGAAGGCTTAACGCACCTCATCGTATACGATCCCACCCCGTTCAACCTGAGACTTGCTCCTCAGTGGTCATAGGTCCTGTGCGTGTTGATTGAACCCTTAATCCCTGAACCCTAAACCCTAAACGGGCTGTAACGGAAGCATCAGCTCCATCCAATATGAACGCTTCTAGGAAGGCGACAAACAGTATTCCGTTCTGAATTACATGCGATTTCCGACGCGTACAACAGATCCTAGCTGGAAAACTTGTTGATGCAACATCCTGATAGAGACCTCCTTACCACCACCCAAACAAACCTCTCGGGCAGACGAACAGATTCTATTCGAGTGGTCACACAGAGAGCTGTATGAGGCTAATGGTTGTCATGACCTTTGGTGCATCTATCATAACCAAAAAGCTGATGCAGCGGCGAAGTGCTTTGGTAAGGCTGTACCTGAATCTGTCTTTCAAGCTCAGACTGGACTGATTGCCAACATTTCTGCAGGTCTTAAGGCCAAGGAAGCTCCAGCTACCTACTTGCAATGGGTGATGGACGAATTCCTGGAGTGATGAATGTATAGATTTTTAGTACTTCCCCTTTCCCGGCAATGCACGATGATGGTCTCAAGCGTACGCTGGATTCCTTCAATGCAAGGTGAACCTAAATCCTAAACCAAGTCAAGTGAAGAGAGCTTAACGGTTTTCACTTACATCACAATCTCAGCTCCCGGCCCGCATCATCGAAATGTGAAGTGAGATTGGGCTGACTGACTTCGGGGTTTTGGATCTGAAAAGCTGCTGCACAGCGAAGCTTCCTTCCACAACTAATTCACAGCATGCCTTTGCAAACATGTGGATTTTACGCCGTGTTCGTCGTACGCAGATCTACAAACAAATGCTAAGCTGCTCACTTTTGCATACCATTCAAGGCACTACAGTACTTGTCAAAGTCACTACATCTCGAACAAGCGTGGCAAAAAACCTGAATTGCTTTGCCAAACTCCGCAACATTTTTCGAGCTGCCTGTCGCAACGCCAGAATCTTCAAATGACCTCCGCAATAATTTGCCGCCAATAGCTTGCGGAAATCATGGACAAGATATTTTGCAATTTATCATAACTGAGCAGAAAACACAAAATAGTGCCAAACCTGGATGGGGATGAGTAGATTTAAAATCGAATCTTTGAAAACGCATAGCAAACTTTCGAGATTTGGAGCTTTCTGCAAATCCACTTACCCGATCCAGACTTTGGCAATCCTTGGTGTTCTTTTTATGGAAGCAAGCTTTGGGAAATTCAACGGAGAGCTTGTCTCCAGAAACGTTCATTGCTCGCAAGCTTTCAGGAAGATGCAATAAGATGCACACGATCCCGAAAACTCTTCTGGCTTCCAAGTTTTCCGCTGTAAAGACAACTTCTTAACTGGGATCACTCTGCAAAAGATGCCTTCTACATAATACAAAAGACATCACATAGAAGAGTGGATTGGTGGCTACTGCGGCAAGTGCAGCAAGCAAACAGCATTTTTGAGACAGATTCAACTTGCCCGCGAAAGTCAAAGGTGTGTAAATGCAGTGGTTCATCACGTGAAAGCACTCCAGACGGAAGAAGTGCAACTGACCAACAAATAAGACCGCAAGAGAAACTTAATGAGAGTCCAGTGGCATCGTCCAGAGAAGTCCAAGCAGGAGGCTAGAGGGAGAAACACCCACAAAAAAAAACAACCGACAAACAAAGCTTTCTGCAGGGAAAAAAAAAATTGTGAGGGCTTGGAGCTGCAGTCTGTGAAGGTTTTGGGCACTGCGGCGAGGCTGGGGTGCTCGCAGGGAGCTGCAGCGAGTGTGAGCTGAGGGCAGCTGAAGGCAGCAGCGACTGTGGGGGCGTGTCATCCATCCCTCTATCCCACCTCCCGGCCATTTGATTACGCACAGCTACGACCTTCAGTCCAATGGTGCACATCAGCTCTGACGCCAAGCATCTTGCTTCAAGTTGGTTCACACATCGAGTCACGTCCTACCTCCAAGATTGCCAGTTCCAGCCAATTGTTGGAGCAATGCCAACAGTAAACTTCCACTGCAGTGCTAAAGCGCTGGAGGCAATGAAAAAAGGGCACGCAAGGTTCAACAGGTTTGGAAAACCAATTCATTGTTTTTTTGCATTTTTCAGCTGTTCAGCTAAAGCGATTTTGCGTCTCTTCTCGCAATTTCTTTGCAACAACTTCTGCCTTTGGCGTGGACGGGCCTCAAAGACAGCAGTTGCTGCACTCGGTCCCAGTAAGAACTACAAGAACCACAAGAATACAATAGAGAGCTGTACAGAAGAATCATGCAAGGTGAAACGGGCCGCAACTTGCAGACTTCGCCAGCAGGGATTGTTCGGCCTTTCAGGGCATAGCTGCTCTCACAATCGCTGCAGCCTCCCAGCCTCGCTCAGTGTGCCAGGTCCTCACACTCGCTGCAGCCGTCCCTCACGGGTTTCAGGAGGATCAGAAGGTGAGGTGGGTTGGGCGGGTCTCGTCGACTACGGCTGTAGCACTGTCCCTACAAACAAGACAAACCAACAAACACAAAGTTGAACATTCGAACTTCCAGTTCAACTTCATTTCGAACTGTCGAATCTGGAGTTCGAACTGGAATTTGCCCAAGCTTGCGTCTGGATAGAGCAGGAATAGTGCCCGAATAGTGCCCGAAATAGTGCCCGTACTAGTGCCCGAATGAGCCCGACCCTTCCAACCCAGAACACTGCAAAAACCGATGCTTACCGCATCTTCACCCATCCTGGGGTCACGTAAGGCTGGAAGGCCGCGGCTGCGTCTCTCCTGGCGGAATCTTCACCGCTATTCTCGCCCCGACCCTCACCACCTCTTGCATTTGTGGATCGGTCGCTGAGACCCCGTAGCTTGTGCTGAACGCCGACAAGCCTGTGCGCCGCAACTAGCTCTTTTTATCGTTTTTTGGCGTGAGCGGGCCTCGTCGACTACAGCTGTAGCACTCGGTCCCTACAAACAGACAAACCAACAAACAAACGAAAACAGCGGTGAAACACGGCGGCTAATTAACAGAGGTCGACAACTAGCTGCGGCGCACAGGCTTTGCCGGTGTTGGCCGTTCAGCACAAGCTACGATGCCTCAGCGACCGATCTACAACAACCGTGGACCGTCGCCCAGAGCTGTCCAAGACCATCGGTGGAGCCCAAGTCAAAGCTCCGGCCGCCGTTCTAGTTCCGTCGAACAACGGACAGCCCCGAGGTCTTGTTGTGTCACGATCGTGCACGGAAAATCCACAAGTCCACAGCCGACAACCATCGGCGGGTGCCAGAAAAAGACCTTTCGACGTATGTCGAATGTCATGGACAGTGGAATTGACCGAACGGACCCCATTCCTTACCGGGCACGCTCCGAAGTCGAAGGGGGCCATTGATCCAGTTGGCGTGTCGCTGCCACTGGTCGGGAAATGAAATTCCCGGAGGAGGTACAACAGTTGATATTGGCCCTCATCATACAATTGCTTGAGGCGGAAAAAACCGACTGGAGCGTGTCAACGTCAGGCTCATGAAGCGGCATGAGCTCCTCGGTAATGAACGGGAGCTGAATACCGGGTCCAATGCCACCTTGCTCGATGAAAGTCTGAGCCGCTGCTCTCCAGTCGTCCTGTCCCCAACAGCCTGATTGGACTCTTGTGCCACCAAGTGGTGGATTAGGACTTGGGCCCTGCAAAGCGCCACAGGCGTGCTGGAAGTGGAAGTCCATTTTCCGAAGGCCGCGCAACCAGAACACGACGACATGACTGAGCTCCCAACCGGAGGTGGTCGCAGCCGTGCGAAGACGAGACAAAGCGCATGCAAGAGCCCAGCAGACTGGATAAGGAGCACAGGCTGTGCTTCCGGGAGAAGCGGTGGCAGTGAAGGTCATAGACCCTGCACCATTGGATGCTCGGGCTGAACAGGGAATGTTCCTGGGGCGAGCAGATACAGCTACGCACGGAGCATTTGTGCAAGTGCATCGCAATGGGAAGGCAGAGGTGATATTGACTCGACTTCCAGCGCTCTTAAAGGAGACAGACAAGCAGTGGAGAACATTTACATCAGAATGCGGAGATGTTATCTGGATATCTAGCACCGGAGAAGCTAGAAACGCTGATGCCCGGGCCCTCACAATCGCTGCAGCGTTCGGCCTCGCTGCAGCGAACCAAGTTCTGACAGTCGCCCTCCATCACGGGTTTCAGGTGGAGGTGCTGGGGACCTGACGACCAGCACTGGTGATGAGGGCTGGCGAGGATGGTGGTGAGGATAGCGGTCAGGATAACGGATGACACGACTGCGCGACGACCGTGAGGTTCCGGTGAGGATAGGCGGGGACTGCATAACACGACAGCACGCCGACCAGCACTGGTGAGGGCTTGGGGGTGAGGATAGCAGTGAGGATAGAGTGAGGATAGCGGGGACGGATGACACGACTGCACGACGACCAGCAGTGCACATGGTGGTGAGGGCCAGGGAGTGAGAAGAGCGGCGGTGAGGAGGATTACGGTTAGTGAGGATAGCGGTGATGACAGAGACGGAGACGGATGACACGACCAGAAAAGGAAGAAGATAGGACAAGAGCAATGGCAGATGACGAAGCAGTCAAGTATATGATCACAGAGCGCAGCAGAAGCATCGAAGCTACCACTTACCTCGAAAAAGTGCTTAAAAGAGATCAGACACAAAGGCCAAGCACTGATGACCTCTG